ATATTTTTTCCCAACAGGAACAGCAAAGATATATAGAATTTTTTTTTAATTATATAATTTACTGCTATGGCACTAAACATCAAAATGCTAACAAAATGAACAAATTATAACAAATAATTTCAAATAAAAATATTGTTATGCTAGGCTGCAATTCAAACCATTCTTTCTAGGTTAATTGACATTTCTGTGTAAATGTACACAAAACTGAATTTTAAAGATTCAATTATATCCATATTCATAAGGAAGATTCAGCTGATATTCGGTAGGTTATTATTGAACTTAAGGGGAATTCTGACTGAGCTAGGAAATAATAAAACTGCCAGCATCTTTCGTTTAAAAGTAACATGCTATATTTTTGTTATATAACTGGAATCCAGTGCAAATATTTGTGACTTGAGAGTTAATGTAGTTAAAGCAATGTACTATTGTTTTATGGGACAGCTCTCTATTCCTTTTAAATTACTAAGTGCTTTGGAAGGCTATAGCAAATGAACAATATTCATTTAACTGAACCTAGTTAATTTTTAATTCTATGTTAGATAAAGAGTCTCATACATTTTTTTCTAATAATTACTGCAATAACAGTATCAAAACCAATAAAGAAGAGTATACTAAAAGCATAAAGATGGGGAACAATAACTTACTTTTTCATTTCATAAGTGCCTTTTTTTACTGTACCAAAATTACCAGAACCAAGTTCTTTTTCTTCCAAAGTCAGTAAATTTCGGTCAAGGGTGACATTTTTAGCTTTTACTTCTTCTGGATCTGCATATGGACTTTCATAAACTTCTGTATCCATAGGCAAAGGTTCCCTGTGTTCACCTGTTAAAAGAACAGCAGAACTTATTTTATTACAACTCTCCTTTGTAATCTGTCCTTATTGATTGAATTTAAAATATTAACTTTACAATATTAGCTCAAAATGAGACCCATCATTTCAAACAATCCTAATTATATTTTAGTTTGAACATCAGTATTGAACTATAATGGTTTTATTACTATGCTATTTTATGCACTTGGTTCTCATTTGCTTTTCTACATCTTAATGAATCGCATACAGCAGGGGTGTCAAACTCAATTTTATTGAGGGCTGCATCAGGGCTGTGGTTGATTTCGGGGGGCCGGGCAGGCGTGATTGACTGGGTGGGCATGGCCAGCTTGATACTGCTCACTGCCTGTGGCTGATTGGGTGGGCGTGGCCATCTTGACGCTGCTCATTGGGCGTGGCTGACTGGGTGGACATGGCCAGCTTGATGCTGCTCACTGGGTGTGGCTGACTCACGATGGCTGGGTTGGGATGGAACAAGTCATACCGGCTATGATGTGGGGACAATTTGGTGCCCTACAGTTCCTCGCATCCTTAAACTGTTGGCAGTGAACTGCATGCATGCACATACATACACACATTCCAGGTTTGGGAACTTTTATCCACATAGGAATGATAGAGCTTTCTTCCCAAGTCCAGGCATGAGTGGCAGGTTGTAAGCTCAGATATGGATAAAAGTCTCCAAGCTTGGAATGGTGTGTGTGTGTGTGTGTGTGTGTGTGTGTGTGTGTGTGTGTGTGTGCGCACGCCTGCATGTACACAGCACACCAAAGGAGACGTTCTTCTCCCAATCCCAGACATCGTTGGCATTTCCCTGTCTGATGCACCCTCGTAGCAAAAGAGGAGGCGGAGGATACAGCTGCTGTGTGTGGAAACATGGAGGAGAAACTTTGTAGGAAGCAGTTTCCACTGAGTCCAACTTCTGTCTCAACAGATCTCTGGAGAACAAGAGGAGGCGACAGGGGAGCAGTGCTCCCTGGTCCTGCACGAGGGAGGCTGGCCCTTCTTGAAAGGGAATCCCTGTTTCCAATTATGAGTGGTAAGGATGCTAGCTTGTTGGGGAAGCCTTCCCTCATGCTGCACTCCCACCCTCCCCTCCTCGTCTCCAGATACCTTTCAAGGCAGAAGTTGGACTTGGTGAAAACCACTTCCTACAAACTTTCACTGGATCAGCAATATGGTTGCCCTCAAAGGGCCTGTTGCATGTAGGACTATTGTATCATATTAGTTCAGGTTTGTATTAGCGTGGGCTGAACAGGATTAACATTTCAAATATGAACAAATATTTCAAATAAATTTGCAAAAACAAATTTAAAACAAAGAACAAACATAAGCTTTTTAATGTTTGTTCTCTCTCTCATGTTGTTTTGTCCGAGCCAGATACTTGGCATCTTGTATTGGCTACAAGTTCATCCCTGTTTGGAGTTAGGTTCTGAGCTGTGGAAACTTTCAGGATAGAGCAGAGGTGTGCATCAGTGAGAACCCTTCTGTGTGCCTTTTTTCATCACAGAGAAAAGTTGCTCACACAGGTATGTACTTCCAAACATGCACAGTATTTGAGCAGCTTGTAGGTGGAGTTGGGGAATCGTTTCAAGGATGAACCTTGTGAATTGTGTGGGCCAGAGGTGGGTTCCTACCAGTTCAGACCGATTCGGCCGAGTAGGTAGTAACTCGCCCTGCCACGACCCAGAACCAGTTCTCTTGGCAGTAGCATAGGTGCCACCATCTTGTTTTTTCCTTCTGCACATGTGCAGAAGCATTTTTTTAGTACTGTGCATGTGCATCCCTGAATGAACTGGCAGTAGCAGCACCTGGAACCTACCCCTGGTGCGGGGTCCTACAAAATCATATGTTGTCTTAAGTGTGCTGTTACACTGGAGTTCTATCAGCTCCATCTGCATGCTTACAGGTGATTTCTCCATGTCAACTGCAAATGGATTGCTGAGCTCTCCAAAATTGAATGTCTGTGCTTCAAGATCAACAAAGTGACAGGTTAAACTCCATTTGAAGTGTGCTCAGTTTATCAACAAAATGAGCATCTGAGAATACAGTGGTGGTGACTTGGCTGATGAGTGTTTGGCAACAGGGAAAGTGACTCAAGTTTGTTTGCTACAAGTTTGTTTGCTGAGCCTTCCACAGTCGCAGCTTTACTTGAAAGGCTTTTACTGCATCGTACATGTCCGTGATCACACGGTCCTGTCCCTGAAGCTGAAGGTTTAGTGCAGTGCCACTATAAAACTAGCTTTCATAGCAGCTTCACGTTGTGACTTTGCTTTTGTGAAAGGTGCTGCAATGACATCGGACTCTTTTTCAACTCTTCCACCTTCTTTAGCTTCTGGTGTATGTCCAAGTTTTTGTACTTGTCCTGATGTTTTGTCTCATAGTACCGTCTCACACTATATTCTTTAAGTACAGCCACAATAGCTCCGCAAACAAGGCACACGGCCTTATTTCAATGTCAACCGTTTTCAAAGTCCACTTTCCGTTTGGCCATTTTTGTAGGTTTAAATATCAGCATACAGGTATTCACAGCAGATTTGTTTATATGGGTGTGAGACTGCGCAGAAAACTCAAAGTCCTAGGTGCAGGTTGAGGTGAGCAGTTGCGAGCGCTCTTGAGATTCAGTAGGACGCTATGAGTCTGGATGTTTTGAGCAGGTATAGCAACATCACAGCATCTATGGAGAGAAAGCAAGTGCCCGCAGCCCTCTTTGATGCAATTGAGATCATATATGTTATATAGGAGTGTAAAGGATCGAAGGATGGACAAGACGTGAGATGTCTGAGGTAAGTTAGAACAGTGATTTATTTAAAACAAAGCAAGAACTATATACAAGCAGGAATTCAGCACCTCGCCCTGCTTGACAGCTATTTACATGGAGCTGTCAAGCAGGGTGACCAATGGGAGTGCTCCTGGCAGCCTGCGCTCAGCCAGCCGCGCTTTAGCCAAACAGGCGTGGCTTGGCTGTTGCCGGCTGTCAGTCATAAGTCGAAGACCTGCGGCCAATCATAAGTTGAGGACTTTAGGACCAGCTGCAGGTTGAGGACTTAGCACTTCTTCCCCCCTAGCGAGGGCACATGTGGAAATGTTGTGCATGCGTACTCGTTGAAGTAGGCGGGTCAGCGGTGGACATGCCCTGAGCGCCTCAGTGCAGGAGGTGGCGGCAGAGAAGTAAGATGTCCCTGTTGCATCTCCTCCCCAAAGGGAGTGCAGCTCCAGGTGACATCATCCAGGCCTGCTCCAGAGGGCGGATCCCAAGGCACAGGTAGGACGGGGTGAGGGGGTGCGTCCATTGGAGGTGGATTTGAGTACAATTGCCAGTAGGCAGGGTCTGGGTAGGCAAGGCCTGACTGGGGGAAGGCCTCTGGATTGGGTAAACCAGGAGGGGCGAGCCTGGAAGGAGTTGGCAAAATGGAATGGCTGCCAGAAGGCGGTAGCAGGGCAGGAGAGGCCTGACTGGGAGAAGGCCTCACAAGGGGTTCTAACTGCGGGCTGCGGTGGTATGGAGGCCGGCTGTTGGGCAACGGTGGCTGGGCTCAACGGGCCGGTTTGAGAGGAGGCCTCAGGTGGTAGGCGGCGCCTCAATTGATCCACACGGCACTGCCACTCAGTGCCATCTGGAAGGTGGACCTTGTAAGAACAGGCACCAGTTATTGTGATGATGGTGGCAGGCACACACCTTGGATCCCCAGAATAACTTCTGGCCCATACAAGGTCCCCAACCCTGAAAGTGTGGGAAGGGGCCAGGCTGTCCCCCAGAATAGAGAGAGTGCAATCTATCCAGGGTAGTCTGCATGCGCGGCCCATCAGCAGCTCAGCAGGGCTTTCGCGTGAGATAGGGCAAGGGGTAGAATGCTGACCCAAGAGGTAAGCAGCCACCCTTGCCGGCCAGTCGACCCAGTCCATCCGGCCCAAGGCCTCTTTGGCCGAGCGGACCGCTCGCTCCGCCTGGCCATTGCTGGCCAGATGGTAAGGGGTGACAGGCTCATGGTAGATGCCCTATGCAGCCAGGAACTCCTGGAAAGTCGTGGATGCGTATTGCGGGCCATTGTCGGACACGACAATGTCTGGCAAGCCATGGGTGGCAAACAGGCACCGCAAGGCCCGCACAGTGCTTTCCGCTGTGGTGGATGACATTAGGACGAGTTCCACCCAGCGAGAGTAAGCATCCACAACCACCAGGAACACCTGGCTGTGGAATGGGCCCGCAAAGTCTAGGTGCAGCCACGACCAGGGTCCCCTAGGCACCTTCCACTCCCAGGGGGGGCAGCAGGTAGAGCAGGGCTGGCACGGGGAGCACCAGGCCACCCAGGTAGCTACCTCGTTGTCCAAATGGGGGCACCTGACATAGCTCCGGGCAAGTGCCTTCATGTGCGCCACACCCGGGTGGTCTTCATGGAGGCGAGTAAGCACCTGATGGCTGAGGGCCGGGGGAATAATGACCCTGTCCCCCCACAGAAAGCACCCACAGTGGAGTGACAGCTCCAACTGATGGGTCTTGAAAGGGCGGAAGTCTTCCGAAACCCCACCCATAGGCCAGCCCCTCAGGACCCAAGCCATGACCTGGGATAGGAAAGGGTTGGCTCTGGTGTGGGTTGCCACGTCAGTGGCTGCCAATGGCAGGTCCAGGGAAGCAATAGACAGGACTGAGAGGCAAGGAACTGGCTGTGGGTCAGTGCAGGGGAAGGGGCAGCAGCTGAGGGCATCAGCATGTCCCAGCTATTAGCCTGGATGGTACCTCAGCATATATGAGTACACTGCTAGGAACTCAGTCCATTGGGTCATCCGA